TGTGAATTTACTGGTTCAAATCTCCGTGAGGAGTCTCACCAGTTTCTTTGGCTCAGATGGGTAGATTTAGTATACAAATGTTGTCACCGTTTCATTCACTGAGCCGAAATATCTCACGTAACCCATTTCACTGAGGCTGGATGATTTCAATGCGGCCAATTTTTTAAGAGATAAGCAATCTCGGCTTGTTTGTTGCATCGATGTAATGTTTACTGCACCACAGCCCGAATCCTCGAGTGTAGTCAACAAAATTACTGATGTAATAGATGTCCTGGAAGTGAATCCGATCTATGTTGAAAAGCCGATTAGCACTGTAGAGCTGTTTCATCCTTCTTGGACACCTCACGAAAATCCAGAGGGTTTTTCGATTCCGCGAAGAACCTGCCAGTGGTTCAACACAACCGAGAGAGGCTGGAAAGCAGTGATAAGCTCTCCCCTAGACCGGGTATAATGGTGCTCATACTTCAATCCTAGGAGCCAGATCATGTTGAGATAGTCACCTGCTGACGATGCCCCTCGAGCGATGATTCCTCAGACGGTTTCGCCCGACTGGTGAATTTTGTTCTTCCTCTGAACTACTCATAGATTGTTGGTAGTGTGAGAAAACTCGGTTCTGTAAGTGCGGGTCAATCACACCGCTGACCAGCTGGCCGATCGCGTTCGAACGATTTATTGTCCAAACCAATGAGTGGGACGTCGCGAATTCGAGACTCTTTGGAGTTTCATGGGATGCTTTCTCCGGATTATTTGCATAATGAAACTGTCATACAGTGCTTGTCCGTCATGATCGGTTAACCAATTAGGGGGCAGTGGAATTTCGCCTACATCCCGTTTGACTAGGACGAGTGAACCGTTACAACCTAAGCGCTCTTTCAACATGGATCTGATAAAACACGAGACACAGGCCTGTACGCACACAATAACTGACAACGACGGAACGATGCTGTCGCTGTCTTCAACCTACCACCTACATTTCTGTCCTCGTTTAAGATAAAATGGCCATCACTGAAACGATTTGTGATTCTGGTGTGATCGGCAGTATAAGAACACAATTCATTTGCAAAACACCTCGCGGATGCCATCCCTCTGCTACTTGAATGCAAAGTTTTCACCTCGTCAGTCAAAGGTTGCGTGTCTTAGTGCAATTAAAAAGCAACCGGGACACCCAGGTTTTACAACGCTGTTCGCTGGTTTTGTAAGATAGTAATCTTTCCAGTGAACGTTTGAAATCCTACCCACCTCTCAAGCATTTTGGTGAGAGTGGATGCACTGAGTGCATTTCATCGCGAAGCTCCGGTACGCCAAGTTTGACACGCCGGAAAACGCCGAGTTCCAGAAATACTATCAAATTAATCTTCTGTCATTTTTCACCAGCAACTTGTTTTTGTACACTGAGTCTGCTAAAAAAAATTATCACTAAGGTTTGAGAGAACATACTACTGAAAATAAGGGAATAGGTAGTTTATGGTGTGCGCTCCTGAAACTATCGCCATTTAAGTCCACCCACTCTGCGCTGAAGAGCCGAGAGTCAGTGTAGAGTTGTTTTATCCCCATTGCGAATCATCAGGATTGCGCGTCTCGCGAAACTCCGAACAGTATGGATCCGCGACCTCCCGGTAAATAATTTGAACAGCTGATCGTTCGGCCAATTTCCGGTCGATAGATGATACTTTTGTGTTTCACAGTGATACAGTGTGGCTACAAATTAGCCGGGTTTCAGTCCAAAGTATAAATCGGTTTTCAATGGAGATGTCCAGACAAGTTAACTTAACTTATAGCAAGAAATCTTCATTAAAAGTTCTCAAAACTAATCGTTTTGCTGGCTACCTCACATTCTACCATCAAACCAATAGAAGTAAATTAGGCGCCAAAGTGCGATAACGTGGAAACGAATGTGTCATGATGGGCTCTCAAACACACCTTCGAAGGATTGTCAAAGTGGCACGTGATTCAAAATAGACCGGATACGACGGCAGAAAGAGTGGAGTTTATGGTGGGATCCACAGTTTGATGCAAAACTCGGTCTCTGGACATGAATCCAATGAATCTTGAGCATACAGTTTTTCGATGACCCCCAAGTCGGAGAAGAACGTGCCTCCTGTAAATTGTCTCTATTCCAATACGTGTTTTATTTGTCGATAAAAACAGAGAATTCGGTGGTCTTTTGATGGATGTGAGACCCTGCACTACAGATGGACTAAGGTCCACTCTACGTAGAACAGTACTAACACGTGATTTGCATAAACTGGTTACTGATTTACAGGTTCTCCTCAGGAAAAATGCGAAGTTAAAAGCCGCTGTGAGATGAACATGAAATTGCCGACCTTCAGGGGGGGGACGTGTTCACCGGTGAGCAGATATGGGAAAAGTGCATTGAGGAGAAAAACTCAGTCACTTGTTCGAAAGGATCTTAAAAATGAACAGCCTCACATTAAACTCACCCTCTCCTGCACTTGGTGCACGTGATTTCGTTCAACTTGAGTAGGCTTTCTTCAAGCTAGAAAAGAGCGAACTAACGCGTCACGTTGGGATTTCCACTAAAACGTTTCCGCCTTTTACACGACTGATGTCCAACTACATTCGGGTGCATGTCGGCAATACATTCTTCAAAAAAAGTACACTGTGTGGATGATTTGAACTTTTTTGGTTTGTTTTACTATGTGAAACCAATCTTAAATGAAATTTTGCGCAGATAATCACCATCGCGACAGAACACCTAATTGAAGTTTTCCAGAAGCAAATGGCAAACTAATGTCGTTCTCCTCGTATGCGTTGTTTGTCGATTTTGTTAATCGAATTCGAAACAATAAAAAGATACAACAGAAAGGTCCAGCTTATTGGTAAGCTGCTAAAGTCTCGGGATTTGACGAATGTTGGTGTGTGGTGCATGAAGACTCATGTTGTTCTCACCATCAGCTTGATCTTGGAACTACCGCCCATTGCTGGTGCATCCGAGCAAACTGAGTGAAACTTGCTAACTTTGAGTTAGAAGTATTGACTGTTTCAAATTTGCTTGGTTTGGGAAGAATCGCAATTAAAAATTTCAACCTGCAACCGGAATCAGTCCTTGCTGTCCCTAATGATCAAGAATTTCAAGAATAATCAGATCCTCCACGATCCCGGTTCATAGCTCAGCCGCAAAGCACGCGGGCGCGTTTGGCCGATGAATAGCTCACACAGGAGAGTACTACCAACTTACACTCAGGTAGCTGACGTCACGCTACTCAGTGCCGACTGGATTAGGCAGTGCCAACTTCGCATGTAAGTTGTAAGGCTTCTTTTTTTAGCTAAGCGGAGTAAACATGGTTTGTTTGGAGCGCAGAAGTTAAAAGGTTCCACACTCTTGAACAGACATTTATGGCTTACATTTATGAAGTAGGCGCTGATAGTGGTTATCAGTAGTGATGAAAATCTGTGCAATATTCATCGGCATCCTGAGGTAGACTGACTTCACCCTACTTCAGTTGAAGCCTCCAAATCTCTCTACTACTTACGAATTCTGGGCCAATTTCTTCCTTAATGAAAGGATACCGTAACAAAGCGAGTCATACTAAACAACAGTAAGCAGCAAACCAAGATGGCGAAGACAGAATAAGCTCTAGGTTAGGTTCATTAACGTGGTAGACAGCAAAAATTTCACCTTGTTTGTAGAGTTGAAAACCTCCGACCGACGGGCAAAATCGGGTATGTTTTTTGGAGTTTCAAGATGAACGAATTGCGCCACGATAAAAGGAAACCAGACATGATATCTATGGGAGGAAAGTCGTGAAAAAATGCTGGGAAAATGCAAGATATTATGATCGGGACAGTGAACTGTCACTTGAACACGTAATATTTCACGATAGTTGTTGTAAGCAAAATGCGATAACAAGTACTCTTACTGTGATTCCGTGATGGGCGGTGACCTGTGGAAAATTGAAAAATTCTAAATACTGACCAATAAAAACTTTAGAACGCGTGACAGAAAGCCCTTCGAAAGCAATAGTGATCAGAAAGACGGAATCAGCTTTCGAGCGCCCTCCGGAGAACGATTTCGATCTGTCAAGTTGACACTGACAAGACCTTGGCAAGCTGCTCTTTTGTACATGTTGAAAGAACTCTTATCGCGCGCAGCATTTAGTTTGTCCTAATGCCATCCATATGAAGACTCTTCATTACTGTTACAGTCAGTGTAATATAGGTGGCACATTCTTCTCGTGTCTAATTTGGCCCCATATTATGAATTCCTAACTGGTTAGAAAAGTTTCTGTCACTGAAGGACCAAACCAATATGTCTGTCGTCAGCAATAGCTCAGCTTGACGACAATGACTCGTTCAAACTCGAGCACGTATAGCAACAAAGCAGAACGTGAACTTTGAAACTTTCCAGAATGGCTGACTGTTAAAGGGATGACATATTTTTCTTACGGAGAAATAAGATACTTTCTGCGAAACGCACGGACCCTGGCATGCCAATAACCTCAGACAGGAAAGTATACGTGTATTTGCTATGCGGTGGTGGTCTCAACTTCTTTTTTGCCGATACTTCCGACTTGTATTTAGCTATTTCAACTACAATTAGCCATTTTTTGCACGTGTATTGATTGTAAAGATTAATATAATATTCTAGACATTGACACCTATCACAGAAGGGCAGATTCTACATACCCACATTTAGTAATTGCTAATCAAACCTTCCCCAGAAGGACTGCATTGTGGAGCAAAAGGACACTGACTAAGTAAGCATGACGGGTAATGGGACCCAACCCATGTTTACAAATTCTTGAGATCCTGTTAGACAAACTATGGGTACTTGCCAGCCAGATTGATTCTCGGCATACTCCAAGGCAAACAGTATTTTCTTTTTGAAAGCGCTGACAAATTCATTCTGATCTCATCCTTGCTAACCAAACTTTGCTGCGACTGATTGGTCGATTTTAATCAGAGGTGGACAGCTAGTCTGCGGGAAAAGGCTGAAGAGCAAAAATTTCAACGACTTTTTATCAAAATCATTTCCATAGTGATGATGATGATGATGATGATGATGATGATGATGATGATGATGATTCGGATGATGATGATGAGGAGGAGGAGGAGGAGGATGACGATGATTCGGATGATGATGATGATGGCGATGATTATTATTATTATTATTATTATTATTATTATTCGGATGATGATGATGATATTCATAGACATTTGTTTTAAAATTCTAGCTGATCTAACGAAAATGAAACACTTTCAGAAGAGCAAACAAAGTTTATATACTGTCAGTTGCAGAGTGACGGCATTTGATAGCATGTCAGTTGACAAAACACAAAAATCGGTACACACAGCAGGTGAATTCCATATGATTGACAACAACAGAACTAATGATAACATTGGTCTGGTTTAAACGGTCTTGTCTTAGTGCGTCCACACCAGAGAAACGAGAAAGCACGGACGCGAATATTCCTTTTATCGGATCCCGTAAGCAAACCACATCCCTAGGTGTGCTTGAATTCGAAATTTAGACATATACCATCATCTCAGACGCCATGCACCAAAATTCTTGTGTCCAAACAGATGATCACACTTTCGACGGAAATTAAAAAAGGGGGAGTTTGAATGCAAATTTGATACAAAGCGCCTGCGAAAGTTCTCATTTCTAACTCGCCGTACCTTAAAAGTGGNTTAAAAGTGCGCCATCTCCGATCGAGAGTTGTGCAATTCATCTGTGGGAAGCCAGTTAGTTTCAGATGCCGGAAGATTGGCCTCAAAGAGGGTCATGTCCCATCCAATAGAATCAGATGCCGGATAAAAAAACTGTACTTTGCTCTACTAAAGCTTTCACGTTATTTCAGCACTGATTCAACGGAAACCACATTCGAAAAGCTCATGTTTACAAAGTTTCTTCATCTGTTATCTCAATGAAAGCTCATCGTATTATCCATGATCTTTCATTCGTACAACTTTTATATCTAAAAATTGCACTAGAAACACGGCCACCAAAGGATTGATTGAAAATCTGCGACTGTGTTTGTCTGATGAGGCCAAAGAAGAGCTAGTCTGGTCATGGGCTGTGGAAGAGTTTCCAGCAGCCCTGGTTTCTTCTGAAAAATATATTCCGATATCTCGAATACCGTGCCAACTGAAACATGGGGCGATCCTGTGCGGAATTTGAAGAACATCACAAACAAGAGACTTGCTGGATCTCCCGTTGAAACTGAATTGGTGTGCATTGAGTGCGTGTGTGACGAATTGCTGACAATCTGGACTTAAGCACAACATAAGATAGCTTGGACATTGAGTACACCGCACAGGCTTAATAAGCCTCAAAGAGACAGGCCAATCGTGGATGGTTTAGTAAACTCATGAGTAGTATTTTGAAGCTACAATGTTGAACTGAAGTCCATTGAGAACATTTTAACTATCGGTTCATCATACAACATCTGAACACACTACTACTCGTCAAAGCTAAGTAAACGAACTTGTGAAAATTTGTTAAAGCGGCGCCACTTGTGTTTCACTGCAAAATTACTAATAAATAAGCAACTGAATCTGCTAAGGATACTATCAGGGAAGATTCATCTATGAGTATCTCAGACAGAGAATAAAATTCACCCAACTCGTCAAACCTCTATCTGAAAAGTCATCACCAAAGCAGCCAGTCAGCATGTGATGTGGTTTCCGTTATTGAAAGATTAATGTTACTCTATGCTGTCTTAGTGCGAGTTAACCACACTGCTGATCAGCCTCTCGTGGTCAAGCGGAAGATCGCGGGTTCGAGAATCCCTTGAGTTTTATGACGTGTACACTGCTGATGATTCTCAATGAGGATGAAACAGAGATGTCGCGTTTTCATTATCCTAACTTCATGTGCTGTACGTCTTTCTATTTGCACGCCTACGCTTTTTTATTGAACGTCGTATTTTGCAACACAGATATTTGTACATGTTGAAAGAACTCTTATCGCGCGCAGCATTTAGTTTGTCCTAATGCCATCCATATGAAGACTCTTCATTACTGTTACAGTCAGTGTAATATAGGTGGCACATTCTTCTCGTGTCTAATTTGGCCCCATATTATGAATTCCTGACTGGTTAGAAAAGTTTCTGACACTGAAGGACCAAACCAACATGTCTGTCGCCTGCAGTAGCTCAGCTTGAAGACAATGACTCGTTCCAACTCGAGCACGTATAGCAACAAAGCAGAACGTATGCTCTGAAGCTTTCCAGAATGGCTGACTGTTAAAGGGATGACATATTTTTTCTTACGGAGAAATAAGATACTTTCTGCGAAACGCACGGACCCTGGCATGCCAATAACCTCAGACAGGAAAGTATACGTGTATTTGCTATGCGGTGGTGGTCTCAACTTCTTTTTTGCCGATACTTCCGACTTGTATTTAGCTATTTCAACTACAATTAGCCATTTTTTGCACGTGTATTGATTGTAAAGACTAAACATCATATTCTAGACATTGACACCTATCACAAAGGACAGATTCTGCATACCCACATCTAGTAATTGCTAATCAAACCTTCCCCAGAAGGACTGCATTGTGGAGCAAAAGGACACTGACCAAGTAAGCATGTCTTTAACGACAAGTAATGAGACCCAAACCATGTTTGAACATATTTGGTATCTTGCTAGACAAACCAAAAGTATTTACCAGCCAGACTGATTCTCGGTATACTCCAGGTCAAAGAGCGTTTTATTTTGAAAGTGTTTAACAAATTCATTCTGGTCTTATCCTTGCTAATCAAACTTTGCTGCGACTGATTGGTCAAACTTAATCATAGCTGGACAGCTAGTCTGCGGGAAAAGGCATGAGAGCAAAATTTTCATCGTTTTGTTATCAAAGTCATTTCCATAGTATCTTATTCATCGATATCTTATTCATCGGTGAACGAAACTGCGGCAGCTTCAGCCACTGTACGACATGAAGGCGCTTATTACAGCTGACAGTGATGATGATGATGATGATGATGATGATTTAACGGGTCGGGGTTATGTTGAATAAAACTTGCATTAAATAACTTGTTGAACAATGAAGTTATGCTGTCATTGATGATGATGATGAGGATGATGATTCGGATGAAGATGACTATGATTTTAATGATAATGATGATGATGGTGAAGATCATGATCATGATCATGATGATTCGGATGATGATGATGATGATGATTTAACGGGTCGGGGTTATGTTGAATAAAACTTGCATTAAATAACTTGTTGAACAATGAAGTTATGCTGTCATTGATGATGATGATGAGGATGATGATTCGGATGAAGATGACTATGATTTTAATGATAATGATGATGATGGTGAAGATCATGATCATGATCATGATGATTCGGATGATGATGATGATGATATTCATCGATATTTGTCTCAAAACTATAGCTGATCGAACGGAAATGAAACATTTCCAGATAAACGAACAAAGTTTATATACTCTCAGTTGAAAGATGATGGTATTGGCTAGCATATCAGTTGACAAAACACGAAAACTGGTATAAACAATAGGTGAATTTCATATGGCTGATAATAACAGAATTCAGGACACCATAATCCTGGTTTAAACAGTCTTTCTGTCGTCTTAGTGCGTCCAAACCAGAGAAAGGAGGAAGCACGGACTCGAATGTTTCTTTTATCGGAGCTCGCAAGCAGACCACATGGCTGGGTGTGCTTGAATTTGAAATTCAGACAGATGCCATCATTGCAGACGCCATGCACCAGAATTCTTGTATCCGAACAGATGGTCACACTTTCGACGAACGTTAAACAGGAGGAATTTGAATGCAAAGTTGATAGAAAGCGCTTGCGAAAGTTCTCATTTCTGAACTCGCCGTACGTAAAAGTGCGCTGTCTCCGATCGTGAGTTGTGCAACTCATCTGTGAGAAGCCAGTTAGTTTCAGATGCGGAAGATTGCTTCAAAGAGGGTCATGTCCTATCCAATAGAATCAAATGTCGGATGAAAAAAACTGTACTTTGCAAGCTTCCACGTTATTTCAACACTGATTCAACGCGAACCACATTCGAAAAACCTCACGTTTACAAGGTTTCTTCATCTGTTATCTCAATCAAAGTTCATCGTATTATCCACGATGTTTCATTCGTACAACTTTTATATCTAAAATGTGCACTAGAAACACGGCCACCAAAGGACTGATTGAAAATCTGGGACTATGTTTGTTTGACGAGGCCAAAGAAGAGCAAATCAGGTCATGGGCTGTGGAAGAGTTCCCAGCAACCCTGGTTTCTTCTGAAAAACATATTCCGGTAACTCGAATGCCGCACCAACTAAAACACGGGACAATCTTGTGCGAAATTTGAAGAATATCACAAAAGAGAGATTAGCTGGATCTCCCGCTGCAACTGAATTAGTGTGTAATGAGTGCGTGTGACGAATTGCTGGCAATCTGGACTTAAGCATAACATAAGATCGCTTGGAAATTGAGTACACCGCACAGACTTGATGAGCCTCAAAGAGAAAGAGGACAACTGTGGATGGTTTGGTCAACTCATGAGTAGTGTTTTTGAAGCTACAAAGTTGAACTGAAGTCTAATGAGAACATTTTAAGCGTCGGTTCATTGTACACCATCTGAACACACTACTACTCGTTAAAACTAAGTAAACGAAATTGTGAGGATTTGTTAAAGCGGCGCACTTGTTTTTCACTGCAAAATTATTAATAAATAAGCAGTCGGATCCTTCATACTTCTCGTGTATGCTCTGAATAGTCGGAAATCTTTGGCCTAAATGGCTGTTTGTCAGCGGAGTGAGGAACGTCAATTGAGAGTTCTTCTTCTGGAGAATGAAGCAGGTTTAATTTAACAATATATTTTCGGGCGCTGCTTTCTGTGAAGATTCATCATGTTCCCCCGGTTGCTGGGATTTTGTGCCTACTCTACGTGAGGGTCATCGTGGAGATCCTGGGGAGAACGACGTTTAAGATGACCATTGGTTAACTTGAGGCGCCCATTAGCCACACAATGCTCTTAACTGCAAAACCTTTGCGAGCGAAATAAAAGTTTTTACGCAAAAATATTGCATTTCGTTGCGTATGTGCTCAAACCAAAATCCATCTCAATCTACGTCCATTTATTAGAAGCTCACCGAATTTCATTGTCCACTGAAGCAATCATACCTCTGGCAGAAAAAAGTCTGGTGAACTGCTTTCCTAACATCGCTGACACCACGGGATGCCTAGATGGGA